GTCAGGAGTTCAAGACCAGCCTGTGCAAGAGCAAGACTGCCCATCTCTGCAAAACAGGGAAAATTACTGAGGCGTAATAGCACACACATCTGCAGTCCCAGCTATTCAGGGGGCTGAGGCAGGAGGGTTGCTTGAACCATGCAGTTTGAGGTTGCAGTGAGCTATGATGATGCTGCCAAACTCTTCTTGGGGTGACAGCGAAATCCTGCCTCAAAAAAAAAGTTGAAATGAAAAACAGTGCAGAGAAAAATGATTGACTAGTGTATTTGAAGCCTCAGCTTCAAGGTAGGTGGCCGAAACAAATAAGTGAATTGTACATTTGTATTAGGCATTTTATCTCCATATCATTCTTTGAAAGAATGAAAAGCAAACAAAAACCCCCAGAAACCAAAAGGCTGACCCTCCAGTCAGTAAGAGAAGAGTCCTCCTGCCTGACTGCCTTCAACCCTGGGGACATCAACCAGAACTCTGAGCATCAGCTCTTCCTGGGTCTCCAGGTGTCAGACGCCTCACAGATCTTGTGACCTCCTCACCTTAATAATTGTGTGAACCAGTTCCCTATAGTGAATCTCCTCATGCATATACCAAAAAAATGAATGATTAAAAAACTCATGAAGAGAGAAAGTAGTTATTTTCATGTTATTTCTTAGATAAGGCAGTATTAATATAAAGGGTGTATTCATTTTAAGTCCTCTCTCAACATTTTGAATTCCATTTATCATATCCTTGGTCTTCTGGAAGCTGCATTTGTAGGCAGCCCAGGATCACTTTTTATCTAGCCATTGTCAGTTATATTTATATTGTAAACCTACAGTCAGTCCACTGGCCACTAGAGGGCACTCCTGTTTTGTTGTTAGAAATAGTAGTAAATTGAATGATAAAGAGACAAAATGTTACGTTAGAGCCCCTCATTTCATCTCACTGCCATTTAGGAAGATGGCATATTTCTTTTCTCAGAAAGCATCATGGTAGGTCTCAGAACACCTTAAATTATTAGTGAGATATGGTAGAAATCCTCAAAAATGTTACAAGTCCTTTATTAATACAGGTTTCCTGGTAAGGAGATGAATGTCCTTTCACAGTAGAAAGAGAAATTAAAGAGTTAAAGAGTTATCCTAGTTAATCCCTGACAATTTACAGAACCAGTGAAAACAGGAAATCCAGAGAAATTTATTCAGTTGCCCACATTTTAATTGTTTAGCAGTAGAATAGTAATTATTAAACATGGTAGTTATTAAATTTATTTTCAGATTTAAAAGCAAGATATAAGAGATTTTGTCTGTAAGAGAAGGAAAAATATATAAATTTACATTTGTTCCTATGTTAGAGGAAAGAATAACTGAGAAAGCAAGCACAGGACTTTTTTACTGGGAAATTGTGAAGTATCCACTCATTGGCCTGGTCGTCTCAGCTATAAATGATCATATTTACATGCTGGGATTAACATTTTTTAGTTTCTTACCATTGGTTTGGCAGCTCCATAGCCACCTATAGTGCAACAAAACCCATTCGTACAATCTTTGATGTACCATTTGATTTTCTTCATATCATAGATGTATTTTATGTATTTGAAGCTCTTTATGGTTATGTGTTACTTTCAGACATGTTCTTTAAAAAGTCAATATTTAAGTTTAATTTCATGAGTATACTATTTTAGAATAGAATTTACGTTGTTGTTAAACAAATGTCTTAGAACCACATTTGTTAAGTCTAAGAGTTATTACTTAATAGCTGCTTCACAGTAAATGTACTGTTGGAAGCTTGGCCATCCTTCTAGGTCTCAAGGCACCAAATTAAAGAGGAGCTGTTCTTTGAGGATTTAGGAATTAGTGCGGTTACATGAAAACACATGGTTTGGTACCAATAGGTAACAAATAACTTTGTTATCATTTATTAGAACATTTTTTCTTAATTTATTGATACACGTTACCTGAGAAACAAATAATTAAGAATAATTGAGCTGTCATAACACACAGTACTTAATCGCATATCCTTATTTATAGCTTTCATGGTAATGGTTCATTTGAAACTTTAGAATTGTATTAATATACCATTTCCTTGTATTTTTTAAAATAAAACGTCTGTCAGAAATGGGTGGAAATTTTTTAAGAGTTTTTTAAAATTAAGTAGAATAGCATAACAATTTACTTTTATCCCAAACAGCGTTACAATATGGCTTTAGTTTCTTTTTTAGAATTAGACATTTCAAATAAAATTCGAAATGCTTGCTCATATTTAATGTCTTTATTTCTATATATGGCTCACTAACGAGTTGCTGTCAGGGCCTACATGCTATTTTATTCATAGTAAAAGAGTATGGAGTGCCAAAATGTTGAGCATGTTACTGGCCCTCAGAGTGTCTGGAACGTAGGTGCTCATCGACAAATGCACCTTTCCCCCATATCCTCATAGAAGAGTAGAAAGACAAAGCAAATATGAGTTCTCTTTGTTAGGATTTTCATATTTGTTAAGAGCGTCCCGTGTGGATATGTCTTGGTATATAGATTACAACACTATCTATTCGATAATTATGACTGGTAAGGTTTATGAGAGTAGGAAAAATTGCGTGAATTAAAATTTACATAGGTTTTTAATTGCTTTGATTTGTACAGATTTATAAGGATAAATACTTAATATCTCAGACACTTCAGGGACACCCAGAGTAGAATAATTCTTTCATCTCTGTTAGTTGCCAATGTACCTGATGCTTAAATTGTCCCCTCACATTGTTGTTCAATTACAGTTTAAACTTTTTTAAAACAGATTCCTCCTACCTACCAGATTGACCATAACAACTTGTGCTCTATTTAAAGTTGTGTTTCCAATTTTATTTGTGGCATTTGTAGTGCCATGACATAATTAAATACTATGTGAAGTAGAGGTTTTTATGGTGAACCATGTAACACTTCTTTAAAGAAAAGACTCTATAAAAATGAGAGTGACAGTTAGGTTTATATGAGAAAATATAAGGTTCTGCGCCTCTCCCCTCCTTCCCTTCCTTCTATAAAATACCCTTCCAACTGGATAGAGCGAGTTGGCTCTGACTTGTATAGAAAATAGTCTTACCTTGAACTTCTGCCAGAACTCTTTGACTCTTTGGTGTGGGTTTCCTTGTATAGCATTCTTTTGGGCTTTTTAGGGTTGACATGAATCCCTAAAACAGACTTTTGGCTGATGGTTTGAGAGGTATATAAATTCAATAAATTGAGTAATGAGAAAAATGAAAGGGAAATGAAAAATTGTGTGTGAATCATTGAATACAAAATGGTTTGTTTCAGATTATTTGTATGGAACCACTCGTTGCTATTTTCCCTATAGCATCTACGTATTGTAGAATTATTGCGAACTACATATTAATATCGTCATTTTGTAGCAAAACAACTATGACTAAGGTTTTACTAATGAACAAATTTTCTCAATGATATTAGCTCACTTGTAATATCCTTCTAGCAGTCTTAACTGGAAGGATCTTAATTTCAGAACATTTTGTTTTTTAAATGTACAGTATCAAAAAATATTTTGGTTTATTTGTTGAGTTGCTTTTAAGTACTTGATATTATTCTAGTTATGTCTGAGTGTGATGGCTCACACCTGTAATCCTGGCACTCTGGGAGGCTGAGGCAGGTGGATTGCTTGGGCTCACCGAGATCGAGACCAGCCTGAGCAAGAGTGAGACCGTGTCTCTACTAAAAATAGAAAAACTAGCCAAGCATGGTTGCACATGTGTGTAGACCCCGCTACTTGAGAGACTGAGGAAAGAGGATCACTTGAATCCAGGAGTTGAGCTTGCTGTGAGCTATGATGCCACAACACTCTATCCAGGGTGACCGAGTGAGACTGTCTCCACAAAAAAAGAAAAAAGAAAGAAAAGTTCATTCTAGTTGAAAAAATTCTGTCTCTATTACTTTACCACACCCAGTGTTGTGTATTATGGCGGATGGCCTTAGCTCAGAAGTTCAAGACTGACCTGAGCAAGAACAAGACTTCCGTCTCTAAAAATAGCCAGGCGTTGTATTGTGCGCCTGTAGTCCCAGCTACTTGGGAGGCTGAGGCAAGAGGATCATTTGAGTCCAAGTGTTTAAGGTTGCTGTGAGCTATGATGCCAGGGCAGTCTACTGAGGGTGACAAAGTGAGACTCTGTCTCAAAAAAAAAAACCCAGCCTTTCTTGTGTTATTGTATAATTTTATCTAAAATGCTTTTTTTAATATAGTGTTTTACAATTAATGGACTTTTTAAAAATTTCAAAATGTTAATGAGTACACATTTTTTTACATATTTAGTTTTTGTAAAGATTGAGTGAAGGTTATACACATCAGTATGCCCTTTACCCAGAGTCTGCGCCTGCACCCAACAGATGTGAATTTATTCATCCTTTCCTCCACATTCCCCCAACTTGATTTTTTTCTTTTGACAGTCTCACTTTGTCACCCTGTGTAGAGTGCTGTGCCATCATAGCTCAGAGCAACCTCAAACTCCTGTGCTCAGCCTCTCAAGTAGCTGGGACTAGGCACCCACCACCATGCCCAGCTAGTTTTTCTGTTTGTAGTAGAGATAAGGTCTCACTTTTGCTCAGGCTGGTCTGGAACTCCTGAGCTCAAGCAATCCACCCACTTTGGCCTCCCAGAGTGCTGGTATTACAGGCATGAGGCACTGTGCCCCACCAACTTGATTTATTTTCTTTCTTTCTTTCTTTTTTTGTGATACAGAGTCTCATTCTGTCACCCTTGGTAGAGTGCTGTGGTGTCACAGCTCACAGCAACCTCCAACCCTTGGGCTTAAGCGATTCTCTTGTCTCAACCTCCCAAGTAGCTGGGACTACAGGTGCCTGCCACAATGCCCGGTTATTTTTTGTTGCAATTGGCATTGTTGTTTAGCAGGCCCGGGCTGGGTTTGAAACTGCCACCCTCAGTGTATGTTGCTGGCACCATAACCACTTTGCTAGGGGGAGCCAAACCCACCAACTTGATTTTCATTGAAATACTTCCATATGTGCACTTAAGTATTGATTGATTAGTACTCAATTTGGTGTTGAGTACATACGTTTGTCTCTCCATTCTTGTGATATTTCATTTAGAAGAATGGTTTCCAGAAAAACATGGAATGCTTCGTGAATTTTAGTGTCATCCTTATGCAGGGGCCATACTAGTCTTCTTTGTATTGTTACTATTTCAGTATATGTGCTGCCAAAACACAATTTTTTAGGTGTACGGAAGATTGAGTACAGAGTTTCCATATGTCTCCACTCATAATTTCCCAGTTATTCATGTTTTGCAGTAGTGTGCTACATTTGTTGAAATTGATGACCTAATAGTGACTTATCAGTTTACTTATTTATTTTATTTTTATTGAGACAACATGTCGCTTTATTGCCTAGAGTGCAGTGGTATCATCATAGCTCACTATAACCTCAAATGCCCGGGCACAAGCAAACAGTCCTCCGGCCTCAGCTTCCTGAGTAGTTTGGACTGTGTATATGTGTACTACACCCAACTATTTTTTCTATTTTTTTAATAGAGAGGAGGGTCTTGCTATCTTGTTTAGACTATTTTGAACTTCTGGCCTCAAGGAATCCTTCCTCCGTGGCCTCCCACAGTGCTATAAGAACAGGTGTTAGTCCCTCCTCCCAGCTGTGATATATTATTTTTAGCTAAAGTTCATAGTTTAAATTAGGGTTTACTCTGCGTGTTGTGCAGTTCTGTGAGTTTTGACTGGTGGACAGTGTTCCAATATTATAGGATCAGACAGAATAGTTTCACTGCTCTGAGAAATTCTGTTCATCCTCAGCCTTTCTCCACCGCACTCCCAAACCTTTGGTACCCACTGTTCTTCCTGCTGCCTCCGTAACTGTGCCTGTTCCAGGATGTCCCATGGTGGGAAGCCCACACTGCAGCTTTTGACACTGGCTGCTTTGATTTGGGATATGTGTTTAAGGCTCCTCCATGTGTTTCATGGCTCAGTGGCTCGTTTCTTCGTATCACCAAATAACCCGGTGTATGGCTGTAGAGCAGTTTATCCATTTGCCTTTGAAGGATATCTTGGTTGCTTCCAGTTTGGGACAGTTATTAATAAAGCTGCTATAAACATTCCTTTTTTCCCCATTTTTGTTCCATTGATCTGTTTGTCTATTCTTTCACCAATGCCACATTACCTTAATTATTACAGCTTTATAGTCAGGTAGTCAAGTCAGATAGAGGCAGTCCTCTAACTTTTATTCTTCAGTATTGTGTTGGCTGTTATAGTTCTTTTGCTTTTCCATATATATATATACATATATATATATATATATATATAAATAAAATTCCTTGAATGATGGCCACAAAATAACATGCTGCGGTTTTGATTGGAACAGTTTATGCTCTGTTCTGCTTTGCTAAATGAGTTTATAAACAGCTACAACTGGAAATCTTTGGCTGGAAACATAAAAGGCTATGCTTATGTCAATGTAAATTCTAAGTTTTTAGATATTTAAGTGTGGAAATGGAAACTTCGTGGAATAGAAAGTTTTTTCTAAGGCTTCAGCCTTTTGCCAGTCCCAGGTTGAGAGAGGCCGTCTGGTGTAGATTCATGTCTATGTTTTCATATATTTGAAATTTAAAGCAATGTATATGTAAAATATTTGTAAAACTTATTGTATGGGTTTCCTCACAATGTAATGTTATAAAGCAATTGAAGAAAATATATATCCTTGTATAAAAAGGAGCAAAGGATTGGAACTAAAGTGAACAAAATGTGAAGGTCGGCCTAGTGAGGGATCATATTCCCTTCAGTTCACCCCCTGAAAGTACAGATGTCATTGATTTTTAGTATATTCACATGTACAGCTGTCACCACAATTAATTTAGAACATTTATTGCCCCATTCCTCCGCCCGCTTCCCACGCAGCTGATTATCTTTCCGTCTCTGTACAGAGCTGCTTTTTCTGAACACTTTAGTTGGCTTTTATCACGGGTATGTTTTCAAGGTTCGTCAGTGTTGTATGTATCAGGACTCGAGACGTTTCTATACTGAATGAATATGTATCGTGTGGATATACACCATGTTTTTGCTTATCTGTTCATCAAGTTGATGGCATTTAAATTTTTCTGACCAGGTGGCTTTTGTGACAGTATTGCTGTGAATGTTGGCATACAAGTATCAGATCGAGGTCCTGCTTTCATTTCCTTTGGGTCTGTGCCTAAGGGGAGAATTGCTGAGTTATAGGCTAATTCTAAACTATCATCTGACTTTTAAAATACAGCCATCTTAGTGGGTGAAAGATCATATTTCACTGTGGTCTTAATTTGCATTTTCCTTATGTCAAGAATCTTTCTATTTGATCCTCTGTCTCACAAGTCAGGGCTGGGTAGAAGGCGCAGCAGGGACTTGTCAGCCATACTCACCTGTGACTTAGCCATGACAGACAGCCCTTAGTTAGTGGAAGGATGAGAAGTGCTGACACCCTGCCCCTCCCAGGAAGATGGGCTTCCAGCCTTGAACTAGGGAGCCTTCCAACTGGGAGCTTGGGGAAGAGGGAACCCTGTGTTTTTACCTATAACAAACAAGATTGGATTTTTTTTTT